GGGCACCACATCGTCTGGGGAGGCCTGTGACTCCTCCTCCTCCTCCTCCTCCTCCTCCTCCTCCTCCTCCTCCTCCTCCTCCTCCTCCTCCCCCTCCCCCTCCCCCTTCCCCTCCCCCTCCCCCCCCCCTCGCTTCTGCTCCTGGCGGTCTCGGCCGTGCTGACACGGCGGCCCACTCGATTCTGCTCGCCCGGAGGGAGCCGGGAGAGAGGGACGCGGCGCTGCACGCGGGTCTCTCGTTCACTCGCTGATCGGCGCGCCCTCCCACCCAGCCAGCGCACGGAACGCGCAAGGGTTGACGCCCTGGAGCGCCCAGCGCCAACCCGAGAGGTCCGCGCGGGCCTCCGAAAAGGCCACGCTCGTGAGGCGGAGGGAAGGGGCGCAGGAAAGGGAGGGCCGGCACGGGAGAGGGACGGCGCGAGAGGGAGAGCAGGGGGGGTCCTCCTTTTCCTCCTCCTCCTCCTCATCCTCCTCCTCCTCCTCCTCCTCGTCGTCCTCCTCCCCCTCGTCCTCCTCCTCCTCCCCGTTCTCCCCCTCCTCCTCCTCCTCCTCCTCCTCCTTCTTCTTCTCCTCCTCCTCGCTCCCGTCTTCTTCTTTTTCTCCTCCACCTCGAACCTTCCTTCTCCTCCTCCTCCGGGGGCCTCTGGCAACCATATGCTGGACAAGGGGGGGCCACAAGGGCCATCTCCGCGGTAGCACATTGCCTCGAGACGGGGCCGGGGTTCCACACGGCACTGGCATGCACCGCGACGGGCTGTCACCGCGAATCGGCAGGGGGAAATGAGGGAGTAGGGAGGAAAGGACAGGAAAAGGATCGATCAACATGGGGATGAGGATGAGGAGGAGACGGAGGAGGAAGGCGCACGAAAAGGGAGAGAAGGAGAAAGAGGATGAGGAGGACGAGAACGAGGAAAGGCAGGGAACGGGGGAGGAGAGTATGAGCAGGAGAGAGAAAGTAAGGAAATGAGACGAGAAGGAGGAAAACAAACAATAGGAGGAAAGGAAGGAGGAGGATGAGGAGGAGAAAAGAGAGAAAAGAGAGGAGAGGACGAGTCGGGTGCACTCGCATCATATCTGACAATCCTGCCCCTCCCATCTATCCTTTCCGTTTTTATTGATTCCTTCACTGTCCGCTGATGGGTATAAAAGCTGACTTGGAACCCACCAACAAGATCGCTGCCACGCCATGGCAAAATTGTAACGAATGGTTGAATACATTGGAGGGGACGATTTGGGACGACCAGGACGTCAGGACGCGGGTATTAGGATGACTAGAAAAGATATGTGTAACCAAGGTCACTACTGGCAAGCAGGTTTGCTTCGCCTGACGAACACACCTGGCCCGAACGATGGCAAACCAAACGCGAGGTGGACACCACCCAAGGGCCAGGCACGAATCGGAATCCGAGGACTCCGCGCGGCTTACGCGAGCAGCTTCCACCAAAGGAGACTCGTCGTCCTTTTTGCGAAGTGCGTCTCGCACTGTGCGGAGCTGCTCGCTGGGTTTCGTCACCTCCTTTCTGGGCGAGGGCGGAACCTCTGCCGCATGCTCTGGCGCTGCTTCTGGCGCCTCGAAACAGTCTTGGGGGGCATTTCGATGGCAACAATATCCAATGTCGGGTGTCTCCCTGTCAACGCACGATATTTCCACCGCTCGAGATTGTTGCGAGTCGGGAAGACGGCACTCCTTGGCCACCAAGGCCAATGGGCCGAGCGCCGAGATCGCTTTGCATCCGGCGCAAAGAAAATATTTGATCAGTCGCTGCAGTCAAAGCAAAAAGCAGATGGCCTCTTACAACCATTTGCTGCAGCGTGTATGGCACTGCTCCAAAGCAACCCAACGTCGGAGGTTGGTCGCTTTCTCCGAAGACGAATGCCAAAGGACGGCGATTCTTCAAGCAAACAGCGCATCTTCAGTGCGCGCTGCACCGTTCCCACCGGTGGTGGACAGAAGGGACCAAGGTCTTGGGCTCGGGCTCTCGACGGATCCTGGGGCAACCTTGGAAGGCCAACGCGGGCCACGAGGCCACACGGCCGTGGCTAGCTTGATATGTCTGTCTACATGCTGCAAATCGTGATCCGACCCGGTCGGGTGGGCTTCGTGCCCCGCCCGAGCTACTCTATCAGCTGTGTTGCTACCGTACTGTTCCCAGCGCTGCTGCTGGATAAATCAGGGCTGTCCGCCACGTGCGCTTTGACGTCCCTCATAATCGACATGTCGCACTAATGCAAGATAATCATTATGCCAACGTGCATCTTCTTGTGCGAATAACGTGCAGCGGAGGAAGAGGAGGAGGAGGAGAAGGAGGAGGGGAAAGATAGAAAGAGAGAGGAGAGGAGAGAGGAGAGAGGACAGAACAGGAGGAGGAGGAGGGCGGAAAGAGGAGAGAGGGAGAAAGGGGAGGGAAACCGAATGAGAGAGGAGAGAAGAGGAGGACAGAGCTGGAGGCGGAGCAGGAGTAGAGAGCAAGCGAAGGAGAGAGCAGCAGCAGGAGGAGGA